AATCTAACACCCTGCAGATGCAATTCCATTGCTAGAACATCCATGTCAAAGGCCATCCATCCTTCCAAGGTGGGTGAAATGAGGACCCAGACTGTGGGGGCAATATGCTGACTCTGTAAACCGCTTAGAGAGGGCTGAAAGCCCTATGAAGCGGTATATAAGTCTAACTGCTATTGCTATTGCTATTCTTCCTTGAAATTATGTCTCACATAAATTGTATTGCTCAATCACATTAGAACAAAGGATATTTGAGGGCATGGGTGAGTATCATTTTATATTTACTAATGGCTTGCATGCAACTTTCGCCTTGGGAAAAATGATCTAACATCTGCTTCCAGACCTTTTCCATCTACCAATTGTGCACATATTTCTGATTATGAAAGAAAATAACATGGGAGACGAAGTGTGGTCATCACAATGGCTAACTGCTATTCATGGCTGAAAGTTCATTGCCATTAGTTTTGAAGACTTGTACAACATTCATCTAAGAATTTTGGAATACTTAGATACCATAAGCAACGTGTGCATATATCTGCATTGGAATTGATTGATTGATTGATTGATTTCAACAGCAATGTAAATATATAATAATGGGAGAATTGCACTTGTAATGAAAAGAGAATGGTTCATAATTCATTCAGAAAGAATAATTAACAAGATTATAGAGATTATTCATACTGTAAATTAACAAAAATGTGAAGAATGAACGGAACTCAAATATTAGCTTGTGTTGACTTTTTTTTCCCTTTGAATGAGGCAATCTCAGGTTTGTAGGATAGATTGGAAAACTGGGAAAAATCCCAAAGAAGGAAATAGTTAGATCTTTGCCAAATGTATACATTTGTGTGGTTATCAAATGCATGAGTTGAGCAAGACTTTATTTTGAATCTATTCAGTTCTTGCAGTTCCTTTTGCTTAAATATATATATAATTACAGAAGGCTTTTTGGTGGGTTTTAATGTTATCTTTGTCAGGACATAAAGGCTTACACTTATATATGTGTCTATCCCTTTTTATGTCATTTATTGTGTCTCATTGTGTGTTATTACATGCTTTTACATGTTTGACTGTGCTTAATTAGTGGGATAGCAGCTAAGCAAGCAACCAAAGTTAAACTTGCCTTTTAATACTTGCAAGAAAGTGATGTAATGCTAAAATAGACTTTCCATAACCATCACTACCTTAAATTGTATCCCTCTCAGTAAGTCAAAGATGCGTTGGGGGATTATATGAATTAATGTGCAAATTATTAATTTCTAATGCTCAGATTTCAGATAGCTATGATGTACTTCTTTCTTCTTTTAATTGGGAGCAGACTTTTACACTGATTGTAATCATAGCTGTTTAACCAAAGTCTGGCAGGTTCAGATTGAACCGGCTAAGCCAAATCTAAATAATCCAATTATTATTGCACTTTTAAAAAACTATTCACCTCCCCTTTTTTTTGAGAATTACTGTTTTACTATTTTAGATATGCCTATTGATGGGAAGGAAATGAAGGCAAAGCAACTTTGGTTGGGGATAGGCCTAATTAGTGCTTCAGCATTCTTTCTTGGACAAATCAAATTAATTGACAATGTTTGCATTAAGATACATTTCATGAATTATAATGGTCATCAAATGCTTCACACTGTGAATATTCAAAAATCAGTGACTTCTCCAAAACTGATACGATTTTGCATGACATCAGTAGCATTTCTCAGTAGTGAATCATAGGGCAAACAGAAATTATACTTCTGTTCAGTATTTATGTTCTCTTGTTCCTCCACACTACCAGGTTCTTCAATCAGTGTTGAGCAATGCAAGCATGTAGTGTCTGAGCTCCAGGACAGTATGCGTAAGGCCATCCAGATATATCACCTGGTAAGCCACCCCTTTGTTTCTGTTAGATTTAACTGCTTATGTATAAAACTAACTTATTAATTCAGAAATATATAGCAAAGAATAGGAGCAAAAAAAATTCATTAAAGAGCAGACATCTGTTCTTGTTCTTGTGTGTGATTAGAAACCAGAAATAACTACACTAGTAAACAAGAAGGTAAGCCGAAAGAATTTCAAGTTGCTGACCGGCTATAGCTGAAGGACAAAATATGTATTATAATTATGCATTCATAAGACTTTAGCAGCTCCTTACTTTTTTTACTTGCAAGTGACCAAAGACCTTTCTGAAGCATCATGAAATGCATTTGTTTGACTTTATTTTTAAAATTCATCAGAAGAGGAAGAAGACAAATGTTGTTTTTAAAATGATTACAAGTAGCCCTCACTTACCAATCATTCATTCAGTGAACATTGGAAGTTATGACGATGCTAGAGGAATAATTTTATGGCCCATTTATGAGCATTTATAACCATTGTAGGATCTCTCCATCTCAGGAGTGCAATTACAGTCAGTACATGTTGCCTTCTGCCAACCCTGTGTTTCCCCTCTCTCCTTGTAGAGCAGAAAGATTGGAGAGAAACGGATTGCAAGAAAGAAAGCTGTTCTTCTATACATTGAAGACAATGTGACTGTGCCAGCAGTCTGGAGCTTCTGGATGGGGGTCATGGGCATGCTATACAAACAGTTTACAGTACTCTCTTGAAATCACTCTCTCCAATTTTTCCATTTTGCAAGAGGGTGTAGAGGGGAAAAAAAGCAAGTGGGCAATCTCTCCTTGCCCTTTTCCTCCTCTCCTCTGATCCTTCCCTCCCTCCCTCCACTGCAGACCAAAGAGATTGAAGAAGGATTTCAAGGGACTGAGCTCTTTGCTCTTTTCTACATCAAAAGCAATGCAGTCATGTGGTAGCCTGGAGATAGAAGCCATAGACATTTGTTCTTTTGAAGTCTCTTTTTCTCCAATCTCTCTGATCTGTGAGGGGTGGGAGGAGAAGAAAAAAAGCAAGCAAATTCAGTAGGCAGTCTCTCCTTTGCCTGACCCCCTCCCCCAATCCATATAACTGAGGAATGCCCAGATTAAGGAAGGGTGACTTGAGTTTTAAATACTCTTCTGTGATTATAAGTGTTAATCTTGCAACACAGGGTTTACTGCTAATAGCTTTTGTTTATTCCTTTACTTTTCTAATATAATAAACTTAGCTCTAAAACAAATCTGTTTGCATTTATTTTTCAGGTATCTACTGATATGGAATCTTCGCCTGATAAAGATAAGATTTCAGGTCTCTTGACTGAAACTTTCACTGTGATGAAAAAAGAATTGGATTCCCTGAAAGATGGCAATGGACTTCAAAGGAAGAAAGATCAACTTATGCAACCACAAAATATAGTTGGAATGCCATTATGGGAGGGCAATGGTGAAACTTTATCTGGTCCTCTGCACTTTGGTGATGACCAAACTCTTGCCTTGTTGGAACAATACTCAGAGTTACTGCTACAAGCTGTTGAACGACGTATGGATAAAAAACTTTAATTATGGTTTTCAACAACAAACACTTTTAATGGAATGCTGAGAATCATAAACAAAAACTGATGGAACGTTATCATATTGACAACTTGAAATAACACTTTGGGGTGTTTGTTTTTAATCCAATGGGCAAATATCTTTTAACAGAAACAGTTCTGTCCACAACTTTTTAAAATGTGCTGGTCACAGTACTAATCCCCTTGTGCCTATCTCCTCCACTAAGAGTGTTATAAGAAATATTTGGCTTAAAACCAATCCAGCGATTAAAGAGAATTTGTCAATGGTCCAGGGGTGGCCCAGCCTGAAACTGTTGACTTAATAGAATGAGATCAAGCTGAAATAGCTTTGTCCCTCTGCAGTGTTATCTGAGACATAGGCATAGACTATTAAAACTTTTATTTATTAATTTATTTTTACGACTATAATTCTGAAACTTTTACCTAGGTTTTGTCATTATGATTATTTTGACATCTTTTCCACATTTATAGTGAGAGAGATTTGATATAGTAAACATATTGATGGAACAGTAGGTAGGTTATAGAACTGCTTTCTGCTGTAGCCTGCATTATTGAATTTTGCTTCCTTATTCCTTTTTATTATGCCAATATGTTTGATTTTAATTTTGTATTTAGCATTATGAACATTCTGCTTCTGTTTTCTGTGTAAAGAAAATCCTGTGCTCTATTTTTCATCAACATTTGTTTCCACAAAACATCTATCCTTTGGTTCAACATCCAGAGATTTGCTACAAAGCTTGTTGGTTAAAAGAAAGGTTTTTTAACTAGTTCTACTTTTCTCAGGTTTTATGTAAAACCGGATCCATCAGAGTCAAATTGATACAGTTGAATAACTATTCACTTAAAAAAATTCTTACTGCTGTGTTATGACAGTGGTGTCCAAGTGTAAGTGTTCAGGAAATACAGATTGCTATGACATTACTATTCTATTTCCTTTCCTCCCTTACACTGGAACATAACTAAAACTGCATGAAATATTACTGTGTTCTACATTATGCCATACTTCTCCAATTTTGTATCAATTAGTACGTTGCCCTTGTTCAAATAAAGAAGGAAAGTAAGTGCAGATCTACATCCTTTCAGCTTTGGTACCCTTTGTATTGAATTATTAATCCTAACATGTTTGAAGTATTCACCGATAAAAAAGAAACCTTTTTAAAACAATGAAGTTATAAAACTCTAATACTACTCTCTCAGGTTAGAGAATAGCTGTGTTTCTTACTGGTGAGCTGACCATTTTAATAAATGGCTTCAATGTTGTAGCCTAGCCTCCCTATTCTGCCTCCTCGATTGGTTTGACGTTAAAACAACTTTGTTGAGAATTCCTAGCCAGTGTGGCCCAAATTAAAATTCTGAAGATTTGCACTCACAGTCAATCTAGAGGGCGCCAGGGTGGAATAGGCTGATTTAGATATTCCTGAGTGGCATTTCTACTTGCATTTTGTAAACTGTCATGTGGACATCTGTCTTCACTGCTCCAGATAGTGGTATAGCCACCTGTGGTATAGCTTTTTGTCTGAATCTCATTGGCTTTCATCCAGCACCACTGCAGTGTTAAGGAAATCTGCAGACCTGTTCCCATTTTGGCTGTCCATTGAACTCCAAGGCTGGAGACTTGGAGCAGTTAGTACCATTTAATTATGTCATTTCTGGATTTGTATAGATAATTCTCTGAATAGATTTGAATGATAGTTGACACACTTCTTAAAATTGAGCTTTTTCCTTCCAGCTATACAGTAGATGCTTGAATTCAGAGTTACAAGAAAAGGAATCTTATTTCTAAGGATAGACTGCTGGAATATACTCTTACATGAAAATTAAGATGGCTTTTTTCTACATGTCCATGTTGGGAAATGTCTTAATAGCCAAAATATCTTCTTCCTGTTCATATCTAGACTGTAAAAAGTGTTCAATGCTCAGGAATCTTTCCTATGCTGGAACACATGCACTCAGGTAAAGAAGTCATGCTTCCAGAATATCCTGTGGCATGAACAAGGAGAAATTCAACCATTACAGGGTCAAACTTTCAAATGTCTTTGGAAATAAAACCAACTTGCTGATAATTTATACCTCAAGCATTAACAAGTACTGATTAATCAGGGACTGCCTTGGATAAGAGGCAACATCAAACCCCCTGTTAATTTCAAAGCAGTTTCCAGTGACTAAGTTTCATTGTGTTATTCTTCGATCAGGAACTATTTATTTTCATAGACCCAGGTAGGAAAATACTGTAACACAGATGGGGACTTGGATGTGAACTAGAACTGTAGTTTTGTGTGTCTTGAGTAAGTAGATATTTAAGGAGGAATGGATAGGCCTGTAATTTCTGATATTTTGTTTAAAGGCATACTGAAGGCTTCTAGAAAAGGTATAGGACTGAGAATCAGTTGATTCAAGGAGTAAAATAGAATGAAAAAGTTCTGGAATGGAAAAGAGACATTGTAAGTGTAGAGTTAGCAGTTAAATAATAATGTAAATGAGTTTGTAATTAAAAATTGGGATATGTTTGTCTTTTGAAGTGCCCTTTATTTTCCCACTAATATGTATGATTTGGGTATTGGGAATGAATATTCTCAGCCAATAAAATTTCTCAAAGCCATTTGAGTTCCATAAGATTCTGACCTCCTTTATTTTCTCTATGCGGTCAGGAAGAATATATATTCTCCATGGAAAATACTTGATGTAAAATACACTTTTTAGTCATTGGTGGCACCTTATAGTAATTCAAATATAAACTTTGGAGCGTTGCTTTTTTACAAGTTAGAAGATTTTGTGACAGTAAAATGTCAGCTAGCATACTTTTTGTTTTCAACTGCATGCAGCTTTTCTGGTGTTATTATGGATGTCTATTAGCCCTTTAAGGAAACTTTGACATGTTGTCCAGGGAGAGGAAAAATACAAATGCCGTACTTCAATCTGTTCTATTTCTACTGTTTTTAATGTATGCATGCAATTTCTAGATATTAAAAAACCTCAAAGAGAGACTGTAAAAGATCCATTTCTTATGTCATATTTGCATATTGTCTCTGTGTTTTCTGAAATGTTTCTTAATGTGATTTAAAGTTTCTTATACTATTTCTCTTTTCAAAAAGAGCCTTTATAAAAAAAAAAACTGTGCATGCAAATGAGACCTATCCCTGTTTCTATAGAAACACAGGAAAACTTTCAAAGGCTGAAATATGTGCACACCAGTTATAGATATATGTATCTGGTGTTTCTACATATGAATGTCCTGTTATGTACCTGTATTTGTTTTCTTTTTTGTATAAATATCTTTTTGATATTGGGGCTTATTCAGTTCTCCTTTTCACTCCAGTGATCCAGAACTTATTGATTCCAAAGAAAGAACCAGCTAACACCGAGGGCAGTGTTTTAAAACATAAATAACATTGTCATGTATGTGCACTCAGCCACTGGATCTACAGAATCCAATGTTTAAAATATTACAAATTCAGAATGCAGAGCAGCTATTGTACGGCCCTTCGGGTACTGCTGACTAAATTGTTATTTCTCTAGATTAAAAAAAAATATCCTGTATTATTTGTAAATAATAAGCTGAAACTGCTGCTTATATATTGGGCTAACCTGCTGTAAATTAGGAATACAGTAAGCCATGTCTACACAATGTATCTTTAAACCTAGGGTACAGATAGCTTTTATCTATGTTCTTTCAATACTCCCTTTTTATTTTACACTTGTTTAAAAGGAGAAAACAACCCTAAACCTTCCTATTTATAAATTGTGTTTTGTATCTTGACTTTAATGGAAAACAAACCTTTTACAATGTCCTTTTTTAATTATTTGAAAATTGTTTTAATGGTTGTTGGGGGTTTGCACTGTGAGCGACTTTGGGGGGGGGTATTTTAAATTCTGCATTCATTTGTATTCAATGTCTAAATTTCAATAAACAAATTTATTGTTACAAACTTATTTTCATACTATTGTTTACTATGATTTTGTTAAGGCAATTGATGAACTTAGTCGGGCTACAAAATAAAGTGGAATATGCTATATTTCCCCTACTAATGTTGAACTGAGAAAACAGGCAAAAGTTCCTTAACCTATCACTAATTATTGTTCTATAAATCAGTTTCTTGTGCAGTATGTGCAAATGTAGATTTTGCAGGTCAATCCTCTTAAATGATGTCCATGAAGCATTACCATTGAGGACCACCTGTACAGCGGCCTTAAAATAAATGTATATTTAATAGTGTATGTCCTATATCAGAGAGAGGAAGGAGGGAGGGGGAGAGAGAGAGAACTGCCAAGCAGGTAAAAATTAGTACAGTAAACAGAGCCAATTGTGTTTCCATATGTTTCAGCAATTATCTGTTAGCTAACCTAGTTATAGTGGGAAGAAACATCAGTACAAATATATTGTATATAGAAAGTGAGATTTACATACTTTCTTCTGTATCAGTATGGTACAGATGGTAGTAATTATTTGGTAGTAATTCTTAGTTTTGCTACTGAAAATACTTTAATACCACAATACTGCTCAGGAGAATCACTTTGGAATAGTAGTTCAAACACTAGGCTTAGAACTCAGAGACCAGGAGTTCCAGTCCTGCCTAGGTGATCTTCAGCCAGTCTCTTTTTCTCAGCCCTATGAAGAAAACAATGACAAACCACTTACAAAAATCTTGCTAAGGAAACTGTAGGTATTGTCCCGGGAGTTGGAAGGAATCAAGACTGATCCAAAGACACTATTCATTAATTAATCAAATTTATATAGCTACCCATCTCATGAGAAGTGAGTATATGAATATTAGGTATGGTTTGCATTTGTATGTTTTACAACATTTGCATTGTATGTTTTGCAAATAAACCCTTACCTATGGAAATGGATAGGAGAGTCAACTTCAGTGAGATGAGCAACATACAAGTCTGATAAATAAATATAAAGTGATTGTGAGTCTGGACTCAGCAGGATTATGCACTGTGATTAAGGTAAACTAAAGGAGACATACTCCTTAGTCACCATTGAATTTGTGGTCTGAATTGGGATGAGAGTTTTTTAACTGGGTTGTCAAAAAAGCATATTTTAATGATTATACACCTTAACTTTGGTTTGGGAGTGAGTTGAAACTGCATCCTTTGAACCAGTATTAGCATACTGTGGCTTGCTTTTGGCATTTTTTCTGCCAACAAATGAAACCTAATTGGAAATTTCCCAGCTTGGGAAATGAGGCGTCTCTAAGACTGAAGACTCTTCTGTCTTCAGACTGAACCTAACTGCAGAACCTGAAATCCAACACAATTTTGAACACTTTTTATTTTGTGTGTGTGTGTGAGAGAGAGAGAGAGAGAGCGCTCGCACGTTTTGTGGCGAAGTTTTATATTGAACACGTTTTCCTTCAGGGAAACTGTTCAAGGCGGCCTCGGGTGTCTGTCAGCTCGAAACACAAACGTTCCCTTCTGCCTCGCGACCAGTCGTTGAAGTCGAGTTGAAAGGGGGGGGGGAGGGAGAGTGGAGGGGGCGGAGCCGTGAGGCGCGTTGAGCGTCTTCCTCTGCGGAGGGAGAAGGCGGAGCCTGAGAATGGCCGTGGGCTGAGACTCCTCTATAGCGGAGGCTGAAAGGAAAGCCGGGATGTTGCAAGCGATGAAACGCCGTTTGGCTGATTTTCCCACCGAAGCGCGGGGTGAGCTGGATGTCCCTGTGTGATGAGAGGCACGTCAGAGACAGCGAAAGCTTCCCTCCCCCTCCCTGGTTCCACCAGTGCATAAATGGAATTGAGAGTATATGATCCACGGATGGACTAAGAATAACCGGAAGAAAAGAGAAGGATAGTAATTTAGTACCAGGCTGAATCTTGCAGAGTGTGAGATCACATTCTTTTACAAGGGAATTAGACGTTGTCTCTCGCCGATTGGGCTCTGTGTTAAGGTGATCCAAAGATCGCGGGATGGCCCTCCTTTCTTTGCCCTGGAGACCTGCAAAAAGACACCCCCACCCCACCCCTGACTGCTAAATCCCCCTCCCCAATTGAAAAAAAAACGGCAGTTTTGCTGCCATCCAGGGAACATCCGTATATTTGCATCGCAAACTTTTTAGCTCCCCAACTGGATCATCATAACCCTGGCGATCTTAAAATTCCCATTTCCAAAACCAATGTGTTTGCCCCTTTCCAAAATTAGGAGTTCTGATGCACAAAATGCTGTACATTCTGTAGAAGCGTAATGAAATGTCATAACCAAAAGCCTAGGCCCGTTCAGTTGTGGCACTCAGCAGCCCCAGTCTGCAGAGCAAAAATATCTAGTACAGTACAAGAATTATTCATTCTACTCCTGGGTCTGTTACTGAATCTTCTGGGAAGAGTGACAGAATTATAACTGCTCCAAGAACAACTTTAGGCAGAGTTGTCAATCCCTAAAATGATTGTTGTTCATAGATTTTTTTTCTTCTTCTGTGCGAATAGAGTTGTGTTGGTCAGAATCCGTGCCGTACCTTGATATTCTTCCGACTCCCCTTGAATTCTACCGGGAATGGATCTGCCCAAACAAACCATGTATAATCCGAAATGCTTTCCACCACTGGCCGGCTCTGAAGAAGTGGACCCTGGGTTACTTGAGGTAGGAGGCTACAAATAATAAAGATGGGATATGTGTATATGTATTTGTGGGTGTATACACACATACTATATACATATACATATATGTATGCATATACATATGCCTGCCTGCCCGTCCATCCATCTATCTTATATACACACACCTCAATCACTTTTATGATGTCTTGATGATGTTTCCAGCATATCTTCAGTCTTCTTCCACTTTTGCCTAAAATATTGTGACCATTCTTTCTGGCATAAATCTGTGTTTCTTGCTCAATGATTAATCTCTTGTGATGTTTTTGATGCAGGCAAATAATGGGATCCAAGCTGGTGAGTGTGGCAGTAACCCCCAATGGTTATGCTGATGCAGTTTATCAGGACTGGTTTGTTATGCCAGAGGAGCGTCATATGCCTTTCAGTGCGTTTTTGGACATTTTGGAGAAAAAGATAACTTCTCCAGGGGTGTTCTATGTGCAGAAACAGTGTTCAAACCTGACTGAGGAATTCCCTGAACTTTTAGGTGACGTGGAGCCTGAGATACCTTGGATGAGCGAAGCACTGGGTAAATATTAAAATCCTAATATTCCAGAATTGATACTATAGTAGACAGCTGCTTTCTGGCTTTGGAATGCTCCAAGTTTTATTGTTTATGGAGATGTTGCAATAAAAACCGATGGCTTTATTACTGTGTACGTACTTCTCCAATAATAAGTTATACGATGTTATTGGTCACAATGACCAAGAACCTTGAGTGGTGTAGTAGAAATTGCCTGCCAAGACTTTACAGAACTATTTAAGCTGTTAAATACAGTTAACGTATTCTGTGTGCCATAAATTAAAAATCCAATTTTAATTTATCAAACACATGCAGGCCAGCCCAAAGTTTTTTAGAGTTTCATAAAGCCCTAAAACCACAAGTCGTGCTTGCCATTTATAGGAGTGACATAAGGGTATGTTACGGGACAGTGTGAAAAAGCCCAATGGAAGCCTTATTAATCACTCCATCAAAGCCAAGTTACATTTTAAAATGTGCATTGCAACATACATAAAAAGAGACATGACTTTGATCCTGCAGTTGCAATCACCATGTTGAGGTTTTCCACTTTGTGCAATGTCCCTTTTTTATAGCTATATTTGCACCAATAGCGGGAGTTGTTTCCCATGGAGTTCTCAATGGCCCCTGGATCTGTTGGTGTTAATTACTGCTGTAATCACTGCTTTTTAGTAGGTGCTTGGAGAAAACAAGAAGAGAAAATTTGGAGATCTAAGGATAATATGTTAAATGGTGTTATACAATAAATGTAGAAATAATTAATTGTATTGCATAATTTGAACATCCTCATTAAATGCTGCAAGTATTTGTGTAGGTGTTTTCTGTATTTTACTTGTCAGCAGTTCTTTGATATCCCTAACTATGTCCAACAGTTCCATTAATACATATAACCAGTTTAGAGGTAAAACCGTTGAATTTAGACTAATTCCCATATTTAGTTTATGTAGTGGTGAAGTGTTGCTAGTATGTGAGTTAATGTGCTATTTAGTTCTTCCGTTATTCTCTAGAAAAATTTAGTTTATTTAATCAAGTTTAACTCTTTCCCTTCTCCCAAACTTTATTATAGAAGCTTACAGAGGATATAGGTTCAATTGTCCCAAGTAGTTACATTGGTTTTTTTTAAAAAACTATAACACTAAAACTTAAATCTGTTTAAATAATTATATCTGAGTGTTGCCAAACTTGCAGAATGCTAGACGTTTTCTGCTGATAAAAACTCTTGAGCAGCGGAACTGTCTGCCTAGATTAGTGACGAATCTTCTTGCTGGGTGGCTACTGCAGAAGATTTCATTAAATGATTCATTAGATTCCTTCCAACTCCTAGAATCTGGTTCTCTGAGTTTTAATTTTGGCTTAAGGGATGTTATAGAATACCGTATTTTTCAGAGTATAAAAAGCCCCCTCCCCCCCCCCCCCCCCCCAAAGGGTGAAAATCTGGGTGTGTCTTACAGACTGAATACAGCATTTTTTGCCTACTGAAACCTCA